CAAGGTTTGGTGTTCCTGCCCTGGGAGTAAAGAAGTGAACAGCAGAAAAAGTGTAGGTGAGGTTGCCTCTGAATGCAGACTTAGAGACCTGCTACTAATCCTATCTTTTAATGCCCTCTGTTGTCACGTGAGTAGGGTCAAACGTTGGTGATAGGTGTCTTCTGTTTGCAGCAGCATAAGAAAGCTCCTGATCAAAGCCTGGTGCATCCTAGTAGAGGAGGTAATCTCCACCAGCTGCTCTACTCACCTGCTGCTGTGGCCAGCTGGTTAAACTGGGGTCACAGGTGTTGCTGGGGAGGACAGAAACATGGGAGTTTGACTACTGCCAAAGTGCCAGGGAAGAAAAGAGCAACTAGAAGTTTGGCTGGTCAGCTCTCTACAATAGCAATGATCTCTCTCACCTCTTTTTAAAGCAAGAACAAAGAGAGAATGAAACTAAACTGGAAAGTAAAAGGATGGAGCTGTTGAAATCTGTTTAGAAAAGTTCTTGGGCACATCCTGAGCCCACAGCACATGCACCAGTGCTTTTGGTTGCAGGGGCTTTGCTGAATCAGGGGGCAAGTGAACTGGCAGGTGGGGCATTTTGTGTAGTGCTTCTAATGATGTAATCACAGGGGTTTGGGCTTAAGAGTGAAAATATGCATTTTGAGCATAGCTACTTCCTCTTGCTTGTATTATTTAAGTAACTAGGCAGAACTGCCCAATTTGCAGACCACAAACGTGAAATATATTTAGCGTATATTCTCCAAAATGAGCAATTTTATTTTCATCAAAAATGCACTCTGTTTTGTTCAAGTAACAGATGGAAATCAATGGGTTTTAATGTAACCCAGAAGAGCAAGTTGTCGTCTTATTATTCCCTTAAGTGCTCTTTTGTTGTTCAGACCACAGCTGTAAAGGGATTTGAACCTCATCACAATAAATGCCAGTACAGAAATTTGAAAGGTAGGCCACAGACTTTGTGGCCCACTGGAGAAGATATCTGCTGTTCCTTAGAGTTGTGTAAAATGAGACAGAAATGAAATAGCATCTTTTTCATGTTATTAATGTCATAACTAGCTATGGAGTTCAAATTCAGCATTTTATATATAGCTTATGTATTAAAAAATAAGCATCTACCATTAGGCCGGAGAAGTATCTCTGCAGTGTACATTCTAAATGTAGAGATTGCTATAGTGCAGTCAGTTCTAGAACTGAATTTCTCTTTGCTTTCTATTACGCAGATAAGCCCTCTGTATGTGTACTATGTAGATAGAAGTTAAACACACACGTGGACACATATATATACACATATGTATACACTCAGGATCCTCTGCAGGGTCAAATGATGACAGTCATATGTTAAATGGCAGTTACTTAGCATGGGAAGAGATCAGGCACTGTGGAAGGCATCATTCTTGACAGGGGTAGTAATGCCACCATAACTCCAAACTGACAGCCCCTTGTCCTACTTTTCTCTTGGGAATAAGGCTGGTCAGCTGCTGGCCATCCTGCCCAAAGCAGCAGTGACAGTCTGTGGCTGCAGGACTCTGCAGTTCCTGCATTTCTGCAGGCAGAACAATGCCCAGCTAGCTGTCTATATATAATTGTCTTAGCTTATTTACTATGCACAATACAATAAGTTGTTCTTATATAATGGTTCTCAGTTTGGCTCTGAAGTTTACACCTGACAAATGTAATGGGATAAAAGAGAGGGAGGTCACCCCTCTTCTGTGACTGGTATTTAAGCTGAAAAAACATTCCCTAGAGAATGGAGTAGCTTAACAGGAGTGCTGTTAGTCTTAAAGTAGGGAGTTAGTCACACAATACTTAGTGAGGCGGCAAAATTACATTAATGGAGGACCTCAACATGAGTATTCTGGCCAGGACTTACCATGGAACAAGTTATGAAGAGGGAATTTCTTCACTCTTCATATCTTGGAATGGGCAGGTGTGGAGTACACCAAGGCAGGGAGGGCTTTCAAACGTGGTTGAAGCTCAGGAGATGGCTCACTGGAGATGTAATCCTAGCTGAACCACTAAGCAAAACTCACCACACCATAATTACATTCACCCTGCCTGGGGTGTGATGAGGTCCTGCTTCCTTTGGTACCATGTAAGGTACCAAGCTTTGTACAGTAACCCTAAACATTGGGGAAGAGTGATGGAGAGGACAGGAATGTGGGTGGGGGAGAGACAGAAGAAGCTGTTACCATCCAAAGGTTACCTATCTCCAGCAGACAGTTGTACAAAGGAGCCCCCTTGGCACAAACAATGGCAGCTTTTGCCATCCATCAGGAATGTTTTGTAGCGGATGCTTATGAGGCAGCTCTGGGGAGCTGTACAAGAAGGCAGGCAAGACAGGATAAAGCAATATGGTTAGAAAAATTACCTGGCTCAGGTGTAGCCCACAGCTAGGTGCATACAGCCCAGGGAGAGCACTCAGTCAAAATGGGTTTTGGTGTCTTTCTGCCAAGGTCTTAGAGTTATGCAGGATTTTGAGCCCATTCCTTGGAGAAGGGGTTTACTGAGGCCAACCTGTATGCAGAAATGGTGCAATGGGCATCCTGCCAAGGACAACACAATGTGCAAAATCCCAGGTCTGAATGGAAAGTATGCAGGCATGTGACAGTATACTGTGGTACTTTTAGAACCACTGGTAGGATAGCTGTAGTTTTAGACACACATAAATACAGTGGTATCGTTATATTCCATCTCTTTCTAGCATTACAGAGTTTTTGAAAGGAGCCACAATACTGACTAGGCAGTAAGCTTAGAAAGAGGTCCACTGGATGGACCTATCATACAATTAAACCAAGAGCACTTGCAAAGTCAGGTACCTGGCTGTCACTGCTGTCAGGGTTACAGACATGGGTGGCACTGCACAGTGTTGCAGCATCCTGTTTGTAGTGGCCCACAGCTCAGCCCTGTGTGATGTGCAGTAGGAAGTCCAAACAGCCAAAGCCATCCCAGGGGTTAGCCAGACCCTGGCTGCAAACAAGTATTCTGCTCTGCGTGTGAACTCAGCTCCCACACAGAGTGGCATATATACTGGCATGTGCCATAGGAATGGTTGATGTGTGTGTCTGGAGATTTCAGGCTAACTCAAAGGAAAAATAAATAAATAAAAACCCCCAGAAGAAAAGAGATGTAAGGCTTTGCTTAATAGAGCATTAATTATGCAGGTACTGAAAGATTTCTAGTCCCTTTCAGCACTCAGAATTCAGATTCTGCTGGATATACTTAATTTTTTAAAGCCCTCTACATTTTGCAGTTTACACATTTGCATAGCGTAGGACTACTGTCAGGAACATATATCTACAGATCTGGGGCAGGAGCTGTTCTCATCATTTCAGTGGGATGGAAAAGAGAAAACAGTTCAAAGGAGGAGCATGGGGGAAGGGAAGAATTTCCATGTATTTTTTAAGGAATCATAAAGACACACAGTCAAGTGTGTCAATCATGAGACACAGTTCTCTCTTTAATATTGTCAGGAACACAAAAGTTCACAGAGCACATGTGTGAGAGGGTGCTGCGCTGCCTTGACTACATGATCTGCATGATACATGTCAGAAGATGGGAATGTTGCTATGGCAATTCTTCTCTCTCCTGAATACTAAGTTGCCGAAGAAGCCAGTTCACAGTCAGGCAGGCTCACTTCTGAACTTGCCTGCTTGAAGATGCTAAATACTATTTATAGCTTCTCTTGAGACAACATTGTTTTCTGCCCCAGCCTCTTAAGACCCTGTGCCCCAGCCCTCCAATATTCCTGATGTTTATGTGATTTGGAAGCTGCTGAGGGCAGAGATTTGACTGAATTTTGTGCTGGAGAGTGTTGGAGTTTTCCTTCGGCTTACACAGCATCCTTCAATTTTCATCTTGCTAAGAGGACAACAGACGGATGGGTCTTTCTGCATTTCCAAAAGTCATCTTGCTGGTCTTATAAAGCTCTGGATTAATTTCTCTTTACTTTCAGTCTGCAGAGGAGTAGCCTGTTCTCACTAATGCTTCTCCCTGGCAGGACAGCAAGAGGACTGGCAGCCTGTTGGCACTACCAGTTTTTTCACTGGGTGACCCTTAAAGCCCAGCCTGTCCTTCTTCTTCTACCGAGCCATTCCCTCTATGCTGTGTGGGTGCTGCGATAGGAAAGGGATGCCTTAACTGACAGCTCTCCTATTGCACCTGTGTTTTCCCTTAGAAATAATGCTCAGTTCTGCTTCTTTCCCTAAAAACCTGCATAGCACTGCTTCATGGAAGCAAAGCAGCTTTGTTGTAGAGGTAGCAAACTTCAGTAGATGCAGGGATTCCTGTATTCCAGTGTTTCCCAATGTCTGTGTTGTATCATGTTTTCTGGTAGCAATCTCTGTTTTCAGCTATTTTCCTTTAACCAAATTTTCATTTTGTAGATTGGAATATTCCTCACTAGGAGATTCTACATGTCTGATTCATGATAAATTTTTTAAGATTGCTCAGGCACTCCAAAACCAAAGATAAGCAGAAACAGACTGCTATTAAAAAAAAAAAATATATATATATCTTTCAAATTAGTAGATCATACTGGTTTTATCTTGGCCTTTTTGTCATACTTT